ACAGCTGCCCAGGGGTGTGGAGAGTGGCAGGTGGAGAGCCTTTGCTCCACTCAGGAAGACAGGCTTCTGGGGCTTCTGGCTCTGGGGACAGAGGGACCACTTAAGGTTTACAGAGAAGGCTCGACCAGGTGGAGGCGGCTGGGCCTTCTGCCAAAGAAAACGGCATGTTTGTCCTGATCCCCCAGTGCTGCACCAGGTGGCCTGGCCAGCTGGCATGGGGGGAGTCACCGCTGGTTTCTCTCATATCAGAGACATTTAGCGCCCTACCTTCTCCCATGCCAGAGACTCGCTGAGGTGGGAGACCTGCATGTGTAGCTGAGTCAGCTCCAGGTCTGAGGCTAGACCCAGGGTCCCCCTCATGGCTGTGGCCTCTCATAAGTGGGGCCCTGGGAATAAGGGGTGAAGCAGCTCGGGGAAAGAAGCGGGGCTTGGGGACGATGTGAAGCCTTCACTGGGCAGCCGCGTGGACGTTCTCCCCGCCTCTGTGGAGAACGGGCTGGTAATTTGGGTAAGCAGAGGGACCAGATGAGGGTGTGGGAGGAAGAGCCTCCTCCCCTGCCAGGGAGCACCCAGGATGTGGGATGTGGGGTGATCAGGTGCTATCTCTGCCGGCCAGAGGAGGGGGCTGGGTGCCACTTGCCCAGCCCAGGACAGAGCTGGTCTGCGCGCCCCGGAGGGGAAGCCAGCTGGAGTGCTCACCCCGCCTCTGCCTCCCCACTCCTCTCTGACCCCAGCCTGCTGTGGCTTTTCTGAAGCCAGGACTGAGGGCTGCCCTTGCTGGCCCGTGGGGGGCCTTGTCTGCGTCCTTCTGGGGATTGGGTGGGACGGGTTGTGTCATGGCCCCTGTGGTCACACTTTTCACTAAAGGTGGTGTTGGGGAGTCCCTCTGCCACCTGCTCACTTCCCAGCCCCCAACAACCTTGTCCATCCTGTCCTAGCCCAGGGGGCCCAGCCCCGCCCCACCCCCTCACCGCTGCATGCGTGCCAGAGGCCCCTTTCTCTTGCACTGCCCCCTCACCCTGTCCATCTCCGGGCCTTAATCTGGCTGGGCTCTCTGGGCCTCCTGTCTTAGTGGCCTCCGCGGCCTCCCCAGGATGGGTGGCCCTCGGGGGCACAGCACAGGTCTGAGCACTCACTGCCTTTGGAGCCTCTGGGCAGGGGCAAGGGCAGCTGTGGCTCGGCTGGTCACCCGCCTGCCTCGGGCTCCTGGCCCGTCACAGGGCTAGCTCTGGTCTCAGCAGACACATGATGGGTGGGAGGGGGAGTTAGGGATATTTAGAGTTGGGGGTGGGGGAAGGATGTCCTTGGTGAAGCTGGTCTGGGGGGATGTGCAGAGACGCCTGCTCTCCTGCCTGCCCCTCAGGATCCACACATTGGAAGGAGGGCTGGCCTGGTGCAAGGGGCAGGGGCCACTCACAGGATTCTAAGACACGCCGTCATCCCGGCTCTGGGCTCTCTGGGGATGAGAGGTGGGGCGGGGCGGAGGGTCAGGGTGTCCATGGCGCTTCTGGGGGTGAGGCTGTTGTCATGCCCCCGAGACAGTGGAGATGGTGGGACCTGCTTGCGCCATCGTTCAGGGCTGGGCTAGAGCTGGGGCGTGGGCTGCGGTGACTCAGCCCGTACCGACCCCCCTTCAGCTCCGGCAGAGTGGGCCCGTTGAGGTCGGTGCACTGCCCTGGCCCTCGGTGGTTCTGCTTGCCAAGGCCTCCCTTTTGCATGCCAGGCCCTGGGGTCTCTCGATTCCCGGTGGGTCGGGGGCCGACTCACGCAGCTCTCATCCCACAGTCTGCAACTTTATGTCCCACGAGAAATGCCTGAAGCACGTGAAGACGCCCTGTTCGAGTGTGGCGCCCAGCCTGGTCCGAGTGCGTACGAGTGTGGGCTAGCAGACTTGTGGGCAGCGGGGGTGGCGAGTCCTGGGCCGGGAGGCAGGCTGGCTGGTTGGATGGGGTGGGACTGTTCCTTTGCGCTGGTTTGGGCCCTGAGGATGCCGACCGCATCCCTGTTGCGAGTCCCTCCCGGGGCACCAGCCGGGCCTCACTTCCCGCCGGCTGTGACCCTCCGCCCTGCCCCCCACCTGAGGTCCCTGGCACCCGGCCCTGCTCCTCCTGCCTGTTGGTGGGCCTCTGTCTGCATGCACTTCATCCCAGTTGCCCCAAATATATCATGGGGGCGGGGGAACAGGCCTGGAGGAAGCAGCCAGGGCCCAGGCTTCCTGCGCAGTACAGCTGAATCAGGCCTGGGCCGGACCAGCAGGGCTGCTCTCTGCAGACGGGGCTGCCTGACCTCGGGGCCGCTGGGAGCGGCCCACGCTTGGTCCTGCAAGGACCATGGGGGGAGCGGAGAGGTGGGCGTGCCAGGCAATGGGTTCCAACAGGACCCCTGGGGGGCACAGAGGGGCTGGGGCGGATCTGGGGGGACTGCAGGGGTCAGGCAGGTGGTGTGGGTGGCCATGGGGGCTCTCTGGGATGCAGAGGTCCAGGCCTGGGGGCCTGGATTGGAGGTGAGGGTGCTGGCGGGCAGGCCCCAGGCTGAGGTGGAGCTCTGCTCCCTCTAGGTCCCTGTGGCCCACTGCTTCGGCCTGCGGGGGCTCTACAAGCGCAAGTTCTGCGCCGTGTGCCGTAAGGGCCTGGAGGCACCCGCCCTCCGCTGCGAAGGTACGGCGGAGCCTGCCTGGCTGCCCTCTCGACTGAGCCGGTCACCAGGCTCCTGATCTCCCCCGGGCCAGGTGGCTGGTGGAGGTGGTGGGCAGGAGGTGGGGCGGGGTCCTGGGCACTGATGGTGGGGGGGAGGGGGCGGTGTTCATGGATTCTAGAGCTGCCTGCACAGGAAGGCAGGTGCAGGGGGCCAGGCAGGGAGATACGAGGAGACGCTGGTTCCAGCCGTCTGTGGGGGGGCGGGTACGGCCCCTGTCCAGCAGTGAGGAAGCTTAAAGGAAGCGGGTCCAGAGCATGTGGTCTGGATCCAGCCTTGTCAGAGATGCCCGCCAGAAGGGGTCAGGGCCCGTGGGGAGCGGCGAGAGGCCCTTAACCCTGCCCACCCCCCAGTGTGTGAGCTGCACGTTCACCCCGACTGTGTGCCCTTCGCCTGCAGCGACTGCCGCCAGTGCCACCGGGACGGGCACCGGGACCACGTGAGTGTGCAGGGCTGGATCTTCCGAACCTGGGGGCAAGCGAGGGGCGCGAGCTGGGGGCCGGCCGAGCCACTGACGGTCCCCTCCGCAGGACACGCACCACCACCACTGGCGGGAGGGGAACCTGCCCTCGGGTGCGCGCTGCGAGGTGTGCAGGAAGACGTGCGGCTCCTCCGACGTGCTGGCGGGCGTGCGCTGCGAGTGGTGCGGTGTGCAGGTGGGGTGCGGCGGGGGTCCTGAGGGGTGCGGTGGGCGGGGCCTGTGGGGCCGGGTTCTGGGGGATGTGGGGGTGTCTCCTTTCCATCCTCGTCCTCTGCCTCGCACTCGGTTGGGGGCGGGGGGACCCGTCTGGTCCGAGGGTGGCGCTGCCCACCCGAGTGTCCAGCGCGGGCCGCCGCAGAATGGCTGAGGGCCGTCCGCGCCCCGCCCCCCAGGCCCACTCCGTCTGCTCCACCGCACTCGCCCCCGAGTGCACGTTTGGGCGCTTGCACACCATGGTGCTGCCCCCCGCGTGCGTGCGCCTGCTGTCCCGCAACTTCAGTAAGATGCACTGCTTCCGCATCTCTGAGAGCCCGG